CAGCCTCCCACCCTCTAGCCAGCCGAGCCCGGGACCCAGGGGCGACCACCCCCGCCAGGGACCCAGCAGAGCCCAGGGACCCAGACCCCACCAGGCAGCCACCGGGATTGATCAAGCAGACGCCAGAAATCTTAAACGCCTTGACCCGGGAGCCACGAACACTCAGGCAGACCAAGGCACCACACCCCACACCAGGTGTGGCAGGGGGAGGGGAGACAAAGATCTATATCATCAAAAGAAGTCCCAGGAGAGGGGAGGAGTCAAAGGCCCCACCTGACATATACAGTCATACACAAACACAGTCACACACTCCCTCCCTCATGCTCACACATGCACATACAACCAAAGACTTACAAAAAATGCATGCCGGACATGCACTCATGCTCCCCATACACACCCTATTCACTCTGGTCCCGGTACTGCTGCACATTGGGTACAACCATCACCGGTTACCAGAGTTTGACCCTTTCTGCTGGGGTGCTGATGAGCAGGCTTCCCCGCCCAACGCTAAGCACAGCAACCCACCACCCCAGACCCCAACCAGATGGCCAGATCTCCCTCCTAGCCTCCAGCCCCAGGAAGCCAAGCAACAACAGAGGTGTGCTAAGACCCCTAGTCTCCCTCCGCCTGCTCCATTATAGCATTGTGTGTTGATGAGGTGTATTCCATGGCTGTGGTGAGCGGGCAGTGCGGGCATTGTCTGGCCTATGCCAGCGGATGCCACCGCACAACCCCACTTGCACCCACAGCCCTCGGTGTCTTAAGTGCAGTTTAAAATTGGAAGTGGGCACCGGCACTCGGGAGGAGGCTGAGAAATTCCCCTGCCAAGTGCCGTTGAATGTGCTCACTCCCAAGGCCCTAAATGTGTGTGTGCGTGGAATGTCAACGGTGGAAGTGTATAAGGTGCAAATAAAATTGGGGGGGCAGGTTGCCACAGGAATGCGGAAATGGGGTCCATACCTGCACTCCCTGACTTGTCCACCCCCCAAGGTCCTATGTGCATGTTTGTGTGATGTTGTGAGGGAGCAGGAGGAGAGAAATATGCGGGGATGGGGAGGAATGGCTGGTTGGGCTTAGCCCTCCAGGGAGCCAGCTCCCCCACTGGCCCCAATAGGCACCTCTGTTGTCAAATTGCCACCCAGGGCATGGAGACCCCAGCCCATCCTGCCAGGGCCCAAAGCAGCAGCATTACAGAGCCTCACGGAGTCCGAGGGCACCAACCCAGCCCTACCCCAGCAGAATATCTATGCCCATCCTTGCATTTGCACAACTTCCAGAATATATAAGACATAGGACATCCAGGTAAGGTTGGGTCCTCCCCCTCTTTGACCTCCCCCTCCCCTGTGATGGAACAGCAGAGGAGCCAAGGTCTACCCGAGGCCCCTGAACCCGGGCCAGTCACTGCTGTGTGTTCCTGCCTTCTTCCCGGCATTATACATGTCAGGACCTGACCCCCAAGGCCCCGCCCAGATCCCCACATGGGGCAGGCCACCCCCACACCCCGAGCCCCCACCCAGACCCGCCCAGGGGCAATGCAGCTGCCAGGCAGTGACCCATGGCCGCCGCCAAGACCTCCGAGGGGCCCCACTCACAACCGCCAGTAGTCCACCCCCCGAGGCAACCCAAGCTCTTCCAGAGGGGGGCAATGGCCCCCCAGTCCCAGACATCCCCAGTGAACCCACCTCCAGGGAACATCTGGATACTCCAAACTCAGACACCCCCCCCCCCCCCCCCCCCACACACACACACACACACACACACACACACACACATCATCCCGCAGGACAACATCAACGGCCCCCCATCATCGCTATGTGATGGAACCGATCAAAGGAGCCCAGAGAGATTGATTTGAAGTGGAAGCAGAGGATAAATCAAGTGTAATATGATCTAACAAAAGATTTCTATACTGGTTAATGCAGAGAGTTTCTCTATTTTTCCAATTCAAGAGGATGGTTTTCTTAGCGATGCATATGTCAGTCAGAACCACGTGAACCAAAGATGTTTCAACTGGGACATTGTCCAGGTTTCCCAGTAAACAAAGGGAGGGGGAAGTTGGGATATGACATTTCAGACATTTTGACAGATCCTCACATAATCTACCCCAAAATTCCTGGACAGGTGGACAGGACCACAGTGCGTGAATGTAATGGTCAGGAATGTTGTTTGTGCAGTGTGTACATGTGTCAGACGACACAAACCCCATCTTGAACATCCGATGACCTGTATAGTGTACTCTGTGCAGAATTTTGTACTGAATTAATTGTAAATTGGCCTGTCTACTCATTTTAAAAGTTTTTAAACAATTTTGGGACCAGAAGTTCTGGTCAAAGCTAACTGATAGATCCACCTCCCATTTTTCAATAGGGATTGCAATTTTATCATCTATTTTGGACAGTGTCTTATATACTTTAGACAGTAGTTTGGGGGGTTTGAGATTATAGTAGTCGAATACCCTTGGTTGTGTTTGTAATTCTATTTTATTGAGCTTAAATTTTTGTTTGACTACAGATTTAATTTGGTGATATTCTAAAAAGCTATTCTTATCCATTCCAAATTGGGAGACTGTTCGATTAAATGGGATGAAGTCCAATCCTTCATATATGTGTTCCAGGTATAGGATTCCTTTATTTTTTCCAGTCCGGAAGGTTCATCATTTGGTTATTTTGCAAAATGTCAGGATTTTTCCAGATAGGTGTGCGTCTGCATGGTACTAGTGAAGACTCTGTCATTTTAAGATACTCCCACCATGCTGTCAGAGAGGTGCTGATACTAATACTTTTGAAGCTTTCATGTTTTCTTATGCTTGAGCTAATAAATGGTAAGTCTGAAAGCTCTATCGTATTGCAAAGTGTCTGTTCTACATCTAACCAGGACTCATCTAGTGGGTTATCTTGCAACCATCTTGGTATATATTGCAGCCTGTTGGCTAAGAAATAATAATAAAAGTTGGGTAAATCCAGTCCTCCTCTGTCTTTGGTCTTCTGAAGTGTTTTTAAGCTAATTCGTTGAGGTTTATCCTGCCAAAGGAATTTAGTAATTGAGGAGTCCAGAGATCTAAACCAGTCAGCTGGTGGTTTGTTTGGGATAATCGAGAATAAGTAATTTATTCTGGGTAAGACCATCATTTTAATTGTAGCAACACTCCCTATGAGTGATATCGGTAAGGATTTCCATCTTGCAAGATCATCTTCCACTTTCTTTAAAAGTGGGATGTCGTTTAGTTTGGTTAGATCTGCCAGCTTGGGAGAGAAATTAATTCCCAGGTATGTGATATTCCCTGACTCCAATTGTGTATTAAGCAAATTGACAAATGAGATATTAATTGGTAGAACTGTGGATTTTAACCAGTTTATAGAGTAATCTGAAACTCTTGAAAAAGAGTTCTATTGAATGAGGCCTAGTCCACACGTAGCCGTTTTTTTAAAAAAAAACGAATATCCGCCCCTCCAAAAACTTGCATCCACACCACCTCGTTTTAAGAAAAAAACTCTGTCCACACATACCCGGATAAATACGTTGTTAAGGACATGCCAGACCTGTAGGCGACAGTACTTCCCCCGTTCTTAACCTCGTTCTTCGTCTGTGGTCTTCTGCAAGGACCAGTAATTCCGCTTGCAAAAACAAACAAGCAAAAAGCGCTTGGACAATTGATGAAGCGAGTGCAGCTCTGAGGGCATCCATGCTGTTGGCTAGTGTAAACACAGGTCGCACACGTGATGTCAGCATTTTTTTGTCGCAGAAAGTGACTTTGCGGACCTTAAAAGTCCGGTTTTGTCTGTCCACACGCAGACACCCTAAACGGAGAAAACGCAGATCTTCACTTTGGCCGGAGTTTTTAAAAAGATCCGTTTTCGTGCGAAAAAACTCCGTTTTCGTGTGGATGACAGGCCAAAACGTAGAAAAATATCTACGTTTTGGCAGATCCCCGGCTACGTGTGGACAGGGCCTGAGAGAGAGACAATTGAGAATTCTGGAGAAAGAGTAAAACATCATCTGCATAAAGACTGATCTTATGTTATTCTCTTACACTCTATCCCTTTAATATCTGTTGTTTGCCTAATTGCTGCCGCTAGTGGTTCAATAAAAATAGCAAACAGTGAGGGGAGAGTGGGCATCCCTGCCTGGTCCCCCTCTGAAGACAGAAGCTAACTGATATTTGGTTGTTTGTCCTGACATGTGCTGTTGGTGAACTGTATAATGTTTGTAGCCAGTTTATGAAGAAGTTCCCAAAACCAAATTTATGTAAAGTTGCAAATAAGAACTTCCAGTTAACTATCAAAAGCCTTTTCTGCATCTAGAGATAATATACTAGTTTCTATGTTTCTACTGTAAGAGAAATCTATCAAATTAAGTAATCTACACGAGTTTGTGGATGACTGTCTACCCTTAATGAAACCAGTTTGGTCAGGGTGTATTATGAATGAAATTATTTTGAGATCAAAATAATGCTTGTGGCATCTGTGGCATTTTGCTGTCAGACAAAACTGCACATTCCAGGGTAGCCTTTTATTGTGGGCAGTATAAGGTACACCTGTGCACTACTCATGATGTCGGATCAGCATGTTGATGTGGCATACCTGTGAGGTGGGATGGATTATCTGAGGAAAGCAGAAGTGCTCACTAACACATTTAGACTGATTTGTGAACAATGTTTGAGAGAAATGGTAATATTGTGTATCTGGAATGAATTTTAGATCTTTAAGTCCATCTCATGAAGAATCAGAGCAGAAACAAAGGTGTTGCGTTTATATTTTTGTTGAGTGTATATATATATATATATATATATATATATATATATATATATATATATATATATATATATATGCAGTATTTATAAAGCAAGATCAACCCCATTTGTCAAAAAGAACCATACTATTATGGGGAGCCTAAGTCTCCTCTCCTTGCAGTCGGCTCATAGTTCTCCTCAAGGCTTAATCTGACAGAAACGTACGCCACTTTGATCTGGTTTCTAACATCGGATTGGTTTTTGTACGTAGGAGTGGGAGGAAACCTGGTTGCCATCCAGGCCAGCAGGATCTCAACATACCTGCACTTTTGGAGCGTTCCAGGTGTGCTGCCCAACAAAATGAGCCAGCACTGGCCCAACCCCTGCAACACCTTCTTCTCCTCAGGTGCGCTGCTCCCTACCGACACGTTTTGAGTTTGAGACTTGGAATCAGAAAAAATTAAAGTAGCGTCAAAAAGCGAGAGTAACTTCTTCTCCGTGTCTCAGGGGTGAACTCCAAATCTGCTCGTGTGCTGCTGATGCTGGTCGTACCTGGGCACCTAGTCTTCCTCTACGCCATCTCTCTGCTGCAGGGAGAGGAGGCTCCCATCACTGTAGCCTTCACAGTCTGCTACCTGGGTGCTGCTGTGTTACAGGTAAACCCATCCAGCTGCCATGTTTTCACATCCAGGAAGAGAAAAATCCGCATTCAAAGTTTTCTCTTAAACTCAGTCAACCATGAAGTTCCTCAGAGTCAGACAGAGGATTGAATCATTTCCACACTTGCAACGACAGCAGCTATTTTTGTTTAACTCCAAACCATTTAACCATTTAGCTCTCCTCTCCTCCTCAGGTGGCCATTCTTCTTTATGTCGCTGACCTCATCGTCCGTTTGATGTGGAGAAGTAATCTGGATCCAGACAACTTCTCCATCCCCTACCTGACCGCCCTGGGGGACCTCCTCGGTACTGGTTTCCTGGCCCTCTGCTTCCACTGCGTATCGCTGGTTCAGAGTTTGGGTCTTTGAATGGTTCCCGCTCAACCGTGAACACCGAAACACTCTCACTGCACCATTTTATCTGAGATTTGGCCTTCTTCACTAACGACACACTTTAGTTTCCCATCATTCCTCCTCTGTGTTTAAGTGTGTAGCACTAGCTGTGTCATCTGTTCACAGCTGTTTCTGTCAATAGTGTTTTACATTTGTTTTTAACTTGGAGCGGGTCTACATATCTAGGATCTACGCTGTTTATTAAACACTAACTGGAATTTAAGGACGAACGAAGAACCACCATGACTCATTTTATTATAGTGCAGTGCATTCACTTAGAAATATTTAAAGAGCAAGTCACCCACAAATCAACTTTTTGTTGCTGATTAAATAAACGAGTTTCTAATCGTGCTGCAGACACATGTAGTCAATAATTTGGCACTTCAGTGCATCTGAGTTAAAATTTAAATTTTCTGCCTAAAACTGGCAGTGTTGTGCCGTTGTCAGGTAAAAACTCTGCACTGCATTTGAATTTAAACCTGCCACTGCTATTGGCTAAGAGGTATGCTATGATGTAAACTGGTACATTATGATGTCACGATGCTGTTGTGAGCCTGTGTGTGTGTGTGTGTGTATTTGTTAGCGGCTTCGCCTTCTTGGTCTGCCAGGCAACTAGCCTGGCAAGCCAGACTAAATAAATGTATTATTTAGTCTGGCCATGCTCCATTGACGGCTCTCGGTTGTGGGGCAGGTTCTACCGTTGTCTTTCAAATCATCTCCGCATGCCACTGGACAATGAATGTGACATACTCTTGTTTCACTCTGTTGCATCATCCCACCCACCAGGCATATAGAGTGCCCTGATTGGCCCACAAAGCGGATAAAGCTCTGTGATTTGTTCACTAAGCAGATAGAGCACTATGATTGGCCCACCATTATGGACCAATCACAGCTGTTTATGTGTTTGAAACCCCTCTAGAGAGCTGTGATTGGCTAGCCAGAGTCCTGGTAGGAGCTGCTGAGGTTCCAATGGAGCATGCCTAGACCATTCTTTGCAAAGCAAGAATTTGGTCTAGTTCACTAGGCTACCAGGCAACAGCATTTGCTGCATTTTTCAAACATGAAGTGGGAGTGGAGTTAGACTCTGGTAGGGGGTGACTTGCTCTTTAAAAGCTCGGTTTTTCTGAATTAATGAGAAAGAACCGTGTTAGGGTTTTAAGATTTACGCCTCATTAGGTGGAAATTCCTCAGGTGTCTGTTGAAATTATAATATGTTAACGATTATAAATAATATTCCTATTAGACTATAAAAGTCCAAATCCTGTCGTCTGAAGCTACGTTTTCCTCTGATGTGGCTCACTTTTAGTTCCTGAAACAGGCGCACCGGAGCTTTCTTCTCCAGAGTTTGACTTAAAGGGCATTCATTCCCACTAGAGACCACTGCAATTGTATTGACTGAACAAGTGAGCCACATCTGTAATTTATTTTATTAATACTTTTTCTTTAATTGTCTTAATCACAAATAAACTGCGTAGTAAACCCAATATTTAGCATTTTGGGAGATTTGGTGAAAATGTTAATTCAGAAAAACGGGACTTTAAAAAAACAAAAAGAATGCCCCCATACAGCTCAAATTAGTAATTTGGGAAATAATCTCACTTTAGTTTAGGGAACACAAATGAACCATTAATTAGCTGCCAATTAATTTGCATATTAGTGGACTACTAAATCTGAATTAGTCATTATTAAGGTATTATTAGGTGCTTATTACCAATGCTGTAATTATAATATTAACGGGCCATAAATTAAGAGTTTTATCAAAAATAAGCCATTCATAATCATTTGTTAACTGAAAGTAAATGATTTGTTGCTGATTAACACACATACTAATTGGCTCAAATCAATATGTGGCTTTTAACGAGGTAATTCAAGGAGAATAGTTATTCATTAATCAATAATATTATGTTCTGGTATTATGTAAATAAACACCAAACTCCACATGTTAATAGAGCCTAAACAACAATCAATTAACCACTTGTAAATAAGAATATGTTCCCCATTCTAAAGTCACATTTTGTTCATACCTAATTACTAGTAGTTTAGTATTAATTAACCACTTAAAGGCAATAATATGTTCCCCTTGAATTGCTAAATTAACATGTTACCAATAGCCCAATCCCACCAGAAAGGCCGGCGTTTACTGTGACCAGTTCCATCAGGGTTTCTCCAAATGGGATCATGTTTAGCTAGCTGTGGCTAACTTTACCGTTAAACAGAACTCAAAGAACGTAAAAGTCAAACCTCTTACTTCTAAAATTAGGAAATGACCAGGATTCCCACTCGGACACGAAGCCGGCATGTCAGCAGCTCCATGTTTTTGTCTGTTGAGGCTGTGAGGTTAGCAAAATGACATAAAATCCCAGTAACACACCCTACAGTAGCAAACCAAGTTATAACGTGTGTGTGTGTGTGTGTGTGTGTGTGTGTGTGTGTGTGTGTGTGTGTGTGTGTGTGTGTGTGTGTAGCCATATGTTGTAGCAACATAAAAACACGTGCTTCACTAAACTAGTGAAGACCCCCACCTGGTCCCGTTAGTAAAGCTACATGAGCCGTATTACTCACCTTGAAGTTTTCAGAACCATGAAACCTCAACATAACAACAGAGAGCATTTATCATTATTTACTGTAACTCTTTCTGAAACTGAAGATTTATATTATTTCCACCTTTTATTTATTTTTTATTTCCTTCTCTGGTTGAATCTACGTAGAATTCCCTGTATTCTCGTTCTGCTCAGGATGAATAAGAACTGGTAAAGGCGAGGCCATCTTTTTATTCAGGCCTTTGGATTTCAAACATCTCACCAAAATCTAAAAGCTCTGAAATGCAACCTGTGACTGCTGATGTAGCAGCTGTTTCATCACTGAGGCTCTTATTGTGACGCGTTTCACACTAGACTCACTTCTGTAATGCCGTGTTGTACCAGCACACGTTGATCAGCAGGACTGAATGATAAAACCTAAATTCTGTATTATACCTTCATACCATCAAGTCCAATCAGGCATGTATTAGTAGTCTTGTGGATCGTCCGGGTGTTGCTGGGTTTCACATGACGCTGCATCCACGTCACCAGCTGCAGACGGGGGTACGGTAACACTGTTGACCGGGTGTTAAAATGTCCAAAATCTGTGCGGTCTACAGTTATTCCAATCGCTCTGATTGGGACAAACATTTCAAGACCCGAATGTAGCGCCACTAAGGACGTACTGATCGTTTGGAACATACTTGCCAGACAGTCACTAGATGTGGCCAAGTGAAGACACGGGTTAATTTGCAGCTAAAAAAGTCACGTGGCGATCTTCGATGTCCAGTACAGAAATGGTTTACTGTATCTCACGTTTGTTTTGCTTGTAAAACCACTTTTGTGAGTGAGTGAGATCAACAGGGAAAGGTTTAGGAGGTCAGTCATAATGTGATGCTGCATGAATATGTGCAGATCATTCTCTTTCCGAAGCTCTGGAAGAACGGTCCGGATGAAACCAGGCTGGCTCTTTTGCTAATCTGCAGAGAATATCGGTGACGTAGTCCTACAGAACGTAGCTAGGATCATCAGACATGTTTCTAGATTTGTCACTAGGTGCTTTTAGGAAGAAACGTAATTCCGGTGTCTGAAAAGTCATTGGAAACCGGAACAGAGTTGCTAAGTTGGCAACACTGCCTCTGATTGGCTAAAACGCAACTCTTCTGCTGTCTACATTAACACAACTCAGAACACTGTAAAACATATTTTCTTGGCTAAAAATATCAGTTGTGTCATCTTCACAAATAACACAAGCCTGACTGTGTTCCGCCATGTTCTGGAGCTGCTAATGTTAGCTTCTACTAGACGCTCTGCTCGCTCCTTCCCAGGGGCGTGTCCAGGGAGTAGCCTGGGGTAGCACATGCCACCCTTAGAATCTGACTGGCCACCCTACTAAGTTCCAGTTTAAATTGACTTTACATTGTCGACAAAAGGCTTGAGTTGTAGACTCCAAAATAGTGTGTGGTAGCATGCACTTTTAACATAGTCTTCTAGCCCAGGCCTACAGATCATTTCTGTAATATTAATATTATTTATTCATATTCACATAAATAGTCCTTAGAGTCCCACTCTTCTCCAGTTGGTGGCAATAATGCAACAAGAAGTGACTTGCTAACCACCACAAAACTAGAAGAAGAGGAAAAAAATGGTGATTGTGCAATGTGAAACTCCAAAATTCACTAGAAAGTAAATAAATAATTTGTGTGAATAAATAAATAAGCATAACCATTGGTGCCACCCATGCATAAACAAGTGCCCCACATGGGCCACCCCATTTTAAAAGTCCTGGACACGGCTCTGCTCCTTCCCACAGGCAGCCTCAAGTTAAAGTGGGCGGGGCCATAAATCGTCATTTCTCCTGTGACGTAGAAGAGACTCGTTTTTCCATCCGTTTTCTTTCTGAGGCTAACGCAGGCGACTGGGGATGCAGAAAACTTTCATGTTTAGTTAGCATGCATGTGCAACTCAGTGACCAATCGTGTTGCATAAAAAAAGAAGTATTAAATGGTTCCTATGGGAACAAGACCTTCTAAGTTTTGTTTATGGTCCTCATTTTAATTTAGTGAATAACTGGGTTGTTAAGCCCCACATTTTTATTAAATATTTTTATAAGTAAAGGCTAACTGTTTAGCTAGTTACAAATGAAGGAGGAACCCCAACTTTTCTGGAAATAACAGCAAGCTTATCATTCAGCCCTGTTAATAGGAACAATGGGATGTTTGACTTGCACATCTGATTAATATCTCATCTAAAATTGCCTTGAAATGAAAACGAATGTTAAAATCTTATTTATTAACGTGTGTGTTAGTAAAAAAAAAGTGTTAAATGTTGCTTCTTTGGTCTCTGTAGTCGGAGTTTGTACTGTTGACACTGCCACGTGATGAATTTAGGGCTTTTTAAATGTTCTTTTGTTGGTGGTGTGTTCACAGTCACTTGAGCTTCCACACCTAGAATGTGTAAAGTCTTAATGTGAACAGTTCTATTTTAATAAAAACGAACCATGTAAAAGTCGGATGTGTTACTGTGGAACCATCATTCTTACAGTAGAGCTCTAGTGATTATCTAGCTTGATCAATGAATGTTTTAGTAGGTCTTTGCTTAAGCTTGGTTTATGCTTGATGCGTCCGTGCGGAATTGCGTCATTTTAACAACCACACCCCTCCACCGCACCTCCGCACAGCCCAAACTTTCCGCAACGCACCCTTAGGAAATTTTCTAACCACGCGGACGGTCGGACGCGGAAAAACATGGCGGACCGGCAAGAACTAGTATGGCAGAGGTTCGTAAATACAGACATTTGTATGATTCAGCTCTCAGAGATCACCGTGATCAACATGTTGTTAATAACTCTTGGAGAGAAATAGTTCGCACTGTCGGAAAAGATGAGGACGCTGTTAAAAATACTGGAATGCCATGTTGTAAACAACAGTAATTTTTACTTCTACTGTGGTGTAGTGTTGGATGCATGCTGTAGAGCTCCATGCTGCCCCCTACAGTTTGAGAGAATATTGGCTCACCGCAGAGACAAGCCGCACGAACCATAAACGCTGCAAGTTGTGAAGCGCGTTCCATCCGCGAGCCACATCACCAAGCGGAAACGAAATACGTCAAGCATAAACCAAGCCTAACTCAACTTTTGCATTCTCCAGCCTTGTTGGGATCGATGGGAATACCCGTTTTGATGGTCTGTTTGATTTCATTTTAAATAAATGTAAACAAGGAACACCAGAGTGAAAGGATGAACACCTGAGAACTTCAGGAAACTGGTGGCATTCCAGCGATGCCACCAACCGAGGATGAAAAACGTGCTACAGAGTGAGACCCGATGGTGCTGGAATCTGGGAAAAACCCCTCTTAAGTGTTCAACGATGAGAGTAATCCCAGCTGTGTAAACACAACTTTAACAAACATGGCTGACTCGAGTTTGCTCATCTCAACATACGGTAAAAGATTTAGTAGGAAGGTGATTTTTTGAGCCGAGTGTCTCATTTGCAAAGACCCCTCCAGCATAAACACAAGCTCTGTGTTATAAAGTAATCCAGCCCTCAAATGTACACAAACCAGTGGAGACGAATGTTCTGTCAAACGACTAAATCCCAACGACTTTCAGCCCTCGAAGTAAAAGTAATATCTGCCTGCTGATGTGAAATGATTACATTTGCAGGTTTGTCTCCCTTTAAAGACTGAAACTACCATTTATAGTGACTTTGTTTTTCAAATGAATCATTAGAAAAGTACACGAGTAGGGCTGCACGATATTAGGAAAACCTGCGATAACAGTGATTAATGTTGCGATGACAATATTACTTGCGATAAAAAAAACTACTCTGGAACAAAAATGATAAAAAACAAAGAAATAAAAAAATGACAATTATAAAAATGAGAAATCAAAAGATGTAGGAAAAGCAGGGTATCTGCAGGTTTAAGGGAGCCAAATGTAAGACTTTTTAAGACCTTTTTTAAGGCCACTTTGACCAAATGTAAGCTATTTTTAAAATTAAACTATAATTTCCAGCTATTGCCTGGAACCGGTGCTAACCACATCACGAACGTGGGATTGGCCATCCAGTTACCATAAAAGTTGCACGTCCCCATGGCGCAATCTCCCACTAGCTTAACCAGCTAACGTGCTCATCTAAAAAAGCCCCCTTTCACAACTAACTGAATGTGTACGGTTCCACTTACGCCAATATTATACTCAAAAAATGCTGAACACTAACTAGAAATTCATGAAAATTGAAATGAAATAATCTTGTTTATTGGGTCTTTGGTAATTTAAGACCTTTGGAAACTGTATTTAAGGATTATTTGTCATTTTTAAGGATTTTTAAGGCCTTAAATTTGGAAAAGCAAATTTAAGACTTTAAGGACCTGCAGATACCCTGGGAAAGGGAAAAAAAATGAACAAGAAAAGGCAATCTGTGGATCCCGGGAAAAGCAGAATCAGCAGAAAGAGCAGAAAAAGCTAACTCAGGTGTTTGCTAACCATCAACATTAAGTGCAGTCCGCCTCGGGGGCGGGCATCTAACCCATGAGAACCCACCCAACTGGCCAAATGGGTGAAGAACTCTATTTGATCTGTAAAAAAAACAAACAAAGAAAACATCATGCTTCTGTGTAGCAAACATCTGAGCGGACCATTCATTCCGATATTTATCTGTTCTTTGCGATATGCATATTGAGCATGCTGATATCGCGATACCGATATATTTGTGATGTATTGTGCAGCCCTATACACGAGTAATAAAAAACGGGAAAAAGGAAATAAATAACAATAAAAGAAGAGTTGTCAAATTCAGCATTTTAGTTCAGTCCAAAAAAAAAAAAAAAACAATAAAACCTCAGAACTCACCCGTCCTAAACACGAGTAACTTTGCAGAGAGGTTCAGCAAAAAGATTTTGTGCTTGGAAGATCCTGGTCTGGACAGCGTCTAAGGCTAACATCGGCTAACACCGAATTAAAGCTGCAATAGCAAATTTACAGAACATGCTAGCTTTGAAAAGCGAACGCGGTCATGAAACTCTCACCCTTCCTGTCGGCCATCATCCTTGGGACACGTTCGCTAGAACCCGCGTTGCCAGCATAAACAAAAGAGCGCTAAACATAGCCGTGGCAGACAAAGGACCTGGTTTGGAGGATTCAGATATGATGTTTGAATTGATTTTGGCGTAAACAATTATGACTACTATGATTAGATTCTGTCACAGGAAATGTCTCCTGTCAAAAGTCATCTGTTAAAACTAATATAGCGAAACTACAAAAACTAGGTTTTGAACGCAAACGCGGAACATTCCCCCCTCCCCTCGGGAATCATCCCTGGTTGCATGTCCACTGGAACCCACATTTCTAGAGGGAACGAGAGGGAGCTAAACACCAGTCAGAGTTGTTTCGATCCAAACGTCCTGTTTTCCGTGACTTTAAATGGTGACATTATTTTTGGGACTCTGGTAGTTTGTCCTAAAGCTGAAGTGGTAGCAGCCGGCTGTTTCTCCTCCTCTGATCTTACTGAAAGGAGAACCTCTAACTTTGGCGGTGTTCTAAATACGTCTGTGTGTAACGAGTGGAAAACCCACCGACGATCGTTGATTTTGGACCAAGCCGTGTTTTTGGTGGAAGTTTTTAGACAAATGTGACCGAACCCCTTCATTCATTTTTTTTTAATCTCTACAAAATATTTACAGCTACACTGTTAGAACGTTGTTAGGAGGAATGAAAAAGGTGTTTAAAGCTAGCTGCTCTGTAGATTTGCTATTGCAGTTTGAAGGTTTTGAGTCAAAAGCCACTTTTATTAGCATTAGCTAGCCAACTTCCTTTTCAACAAATCATCTTATATTTGTTTTCCTTAAATTGCTGAGTCATAATGCTCTTGTTTTACCTATATTTGTTTTCTTTATCTTTTTGCACCTCTGGGAGTTGTTTTTCATGGCTAAAACTGCAAACGTTTAAACATTTACCAATAATTATCTTTGACTTAATGATTTTCCAGGGGCACGCTTTAATCTCAATGCTTTAAAAGCTAGTAGAATATTAGTCTTCCTGCAGGAAATGCATTTGAATCCCACAAGTTTCTCCCCTGCCAAGGCCTTTCAGCTAATTTACCCACAATGTAACGTTAAGGATTAAAGTTACAGCAGTTATTTTACTCGCAGAGACCTGAAAAAGACGCAAATGTGTGAAATCTGGTGAGTTTTCCCTAGACAGAAGATAAGAAAAGCCATTAATAAATATTTTAATAAGCTCCAAGTTTCCCTTCATGAATTCCACCAGGTTTGCCGAACAAGGCGTCGCAGTGCAGATGGCTGTAGGTGGATTAACTCCTCGTGTGCCGCTCTCTCCCCAACAAGGGCAGCTCTGACTGGGGTGGTGCTGGGCTGCACCCAGCTACGACCACAGCTATGTGGTTGTTTGTTCAGCCTACAAGCCCAGAGCTCAGGACAGACAGCGATAGATGAAGGACGGCGAGGGGATTTCACTCAGAGGAAGACTTCCAGATGCGGGTGTTTAACGGGAATGAAGATGAGTCTTTGGTCAAAGTGGAAAAAGTCTAGGCAGCTTTCTACAGTTTAATATCCGTTAAGAGGGAAAAACTTTTAATATAAATTAATTTGACTCATTTACAAGCTCACAACCTCTTTGTTTAACAATAAATACTTTCTGTTGCTGACGAGGCATAAATAAAAGGCTCTGAAACCATTTTCTGGGTTCAGTTTCACAGTCAGCACATTTTGGAGGAGAACCCGCTCCTCTGAAGATCCACTCGCTCACGGCTCATTAGGTCTAATGAACAACAAATGCAATAAAAGGCACTTTTCACAAACACTGTTAAAAAGGAAAATTTGCTGGGTTGAACGCAGCAACATCCCAGTCAGAACAGGAAATAAATACAGAACGGATCTGTTGGTTCGTCTTTAAAAGCTGAGAGGAGAACATGCTCGGTCTTGCTCCTCAGAAAACCGCGTCCCTCTCCGTGACGGCGTTTCTGAGGACATTAGGAAGGAAAAGGTGAAATCCAAACAGTGCAAAATAAAAACTGCTCTGGTCTAGTCATCATCTAGTCATCGAGTCCTGAGATATTCCGGTGTGGAGTAGTTAAACAGGAAGAAGTCCATCCGATACAAGTTAAAGAGTTTCTTCTGATAAAAGGGACTGATGTGCTTGAAAAAGTGGGCGGCCATGTTGCCGTCAGTCCTGGTGCTCTTACCGGATGTTGGGAATTGGACCGTCCCTTCCACCGTGGCTAATCTGAGCACAGCGCTAGCGTCTGCTTCCAGAGTTTCATACTTCCCCACCACATCATAGTGGATCTGGCAGGGATGGCACAGCGAGTGAACCCGCTCCCAGTGCTCGTTAAACGGTTCTTCCCGTTGTGTCCGAGGGTCTACGAGGTACTGAACAAACTCCCGGAAACTCACGTCACTTCCTCGCTCCATGGCTTCTGGATCAGGGTCCGACCGGTATCGGCGGATGATTTTGGTTCCGTAACGTTTGTGGAAGGCCGTGTTGTAGCTTCTTGTGAATTTATTCCGGTAGGCGGACACGATGCGTTCAAAGGGGTCCCGCACAAAGATGAACTTGAGGTAGCTGCGAAGGCGCTGGTTGATCTCTGTGACGGAGAACTCGGAGAGCGTTCGCAGGTTTCCGGAGACGTGAGCCTCGTTGGCCGGGATGGCCAGAGGGTCTGTGTAGCGGCCGTCACTCGTCAGAACCATGAGCACACGTTTCCAATTGGTGCAGGCCACCTGGGAGGAAGAAAGGGGATTTTCATCTTCAGGAATTCCTAAACATGTAACACCATGTTTATGAAGTTTAACCTGATCTGCCGGCTTATCGTGAGTATAAATGTACCCAAACCAGCAACTTCTAAGAAATTAAAGGAGAAACACAAACAAATCTTCTCAAGTTCTCACAGCTTGTAAAACTTAACTGAAGCTATGTTGTAAATAAAAGTGGATAAAAAGATCCTGCAGGAGAGATGTAGTCTGATGTGGATGCTTTAGCTTTAGCATTAACATTCTGGCTTTGGTTAAGGACCCACTCACTTTTTCTATTCTATTTGAAAAACATAAAAGTTGGAGTTTGATGATTTCTCAGCTAATTTCGGTTGTTTTTATGAGTGTAAACAAGTTCGTCACAGCTGTGGTGGGGTCAGGAGCACTAACCCACCTTGGGTACGTAGCAGTAGATGAGGCCGTGCTTGTCATCCACGATGAGGTGTTTCAGGTCCTCAGGTGAAAGCACCCGTCGCTTCCTCGTGTGGCTCAGACACGCCTGCTCCAACAGCTCCCTGCGGCCTTGGAGGGACTTCTGAGCCGTCGACGGCTGCAGCTGCTTTTGATGAAGACAAAGCAGGACGGATGAGAGGAACCCAACGAGATGTACAGAAACATCCGTTAAATGTGGAACCCTTGGCAGGAAATCTACTGGGACTTCTAGGATTACTCATGTCATCTTTTAAACTATCAACAGTAAAGATTATTTAGAGAAACCAGCTTTTTATCATCTTTTATTTTGTAGTTTTATCTGGAGGACCCGCGTGGACCACATATTCTGCTGCTGGTCAGCGGACGCCAGCTGCTGTCTGCACCTTCCTCACTGCACCTTTGGGCTGGAAGACTTGATGGGAAAACAAATATTCACTTTCTGAACAGTTTTAGCTAAAGACTGGAAAACAATAGTTGTGGTCACCTGGTCTCCTTTGTAGAGGGTCTGCAGAGGACTCCTCCTGCTCTTCACAGTTCTGCCGCCGGTCTTCAAAGCAGGTTCTAGAGTTAGACGGGACACCAGAGACAACGTTAGGGGTGAGCGAGGATTTTCTAGTAGTTTAAAACAAAAAATCACTCAGAAATACGGATTTTGAATAATTCAGGGTATCTGCAGGTTTAAGGGAGCCAAATTTAAGACCTTTTTAAGGCCACTTTGACCAAATTTAAGCTATTTAAGCAGGGCAGCAGTAGCTCAACAGGTTGAGCAGGTTGTCCAGTAATCAGAAGGTTGCAGGTTCGATCCCGGCTCCGGACAGAGAATTCTGCTGTTGTGTCCTTGGGCAAGACACTTCACCCACCTTGCCTGCTGGTGGTGGTCAGAGGGACCGGTGGCGCCTGTCCTTGGCAGCCTCGCCTCTGTAAGTGCGCCCCAGGGCAGCTGTGGCTACATCGTAGCTCATCACCATCAGTGTGTGAATGTGTGTGTGTGTGAATGGATCAATGATACACTGTAGTGTAAAGCGCTTTGGAGTCCTTACTCTGACAACTGCGGATCATTTATCCTTTTAAAAAATTAAATTTAAGCTATAATTTCCAGCTATTGCCTGGAACCGGTGCTAACCACGCCGCAATCGTGGGATTAACCATCCAGTTACCATTAAACTTGCACTTGCCCATGGTGCAAGCTCCCACTAGCTCAACCAGCTAATGTGCTCATCTAAAAATAGCCCCCTTTGACAACCAACTGAACGTGTACGGTTCCGCTTACGCCAACATCGTACGCAAAAAATGTTGAACACTAACTAGAAATTCACGAAAATTTTATAGAAATAAAAGAATCTTGTTTATTGGGTCTTTGGTAATAAAAGACCTCTGGAAACTGTATTTAAGGATTATTTGTCATTTTTAAGGATTTTTAAGGCCTTAAATTTGGAAAAGCTCATTTAAGACTTTTTAAGACTTTTAGAGACTTTTTAAGGACCCGCGGATACCCTGTAATAAAACAACCACCAGAACCTGGTAGCAACACATGGCTGGTTAGGAAACAACTTTGTGCATTACCACCACCTAGTGGTCATGCTAGCATAGGGGTGTATCTCTGAGAACTGAACATCTTGATGTAATCTAAACTTTGAGCTTTATTTTTGAAAGGGTTACGCAGCTATGGCTGATGTGCATCTAAACTACCAGAAAGACTCAGCAGGAAAATGGAATAAAGGATCGCGACTAGCAGAAAGAGCAAAAACTAGTGGTGTGTGTGTGTGTGTGTGTGTGTGTGTGTGCGTGCGTGCGTGCGTGCGTGTGTGTGTGTGTGTGTGTGCGTGCGTGCGTATGTGTGCGTGTGCGCGCGCCAGAGGCTTCAGCTGGTAAATTTCACGTGGGATCCCGGCTCTGTGTGTACAGGGTCTTCGTCTTTGTCTTCCTCCGCTTATCCGGGTCCGGGTCGCGGGGGCAGCATCCCAACTAGGGAGCTCCAGGCCGTCCTCTCCCCGGCCTTGTCCACCAGCTCCTCCGGCAGGACCCCAAGGCGTTCCCGGACCAGATTGGAGATGTAACCTCTCCTAAGTGTCCTGGGTCGACCCGGGGGCCTACTGCCAGCAGGACGTGCCCGAACCACCTCCCCAGGGAGGCGTCCAGGAGGCATCCTGAACAGATGCCCAAACCACCTCAACTGGCTCCTTTCGATCCAGAGGAGCAGCGGTTCTACTCCGAGTCCCTCCCGAATGTCCGAGCTCCTCACCCTAGCTCTAAGGCTGAGCCCGGCCACCCTACGGAGGAAACTCATTTCGGCCGCTTGTATCCGCGATCTCGTTCTTTCGGTCATTACCCAAAGCTCATGACCATAGGTGAGGATTGGGACGTAGATCAAATCGAGAGCCTGGCTTTCTGGCTCAGCTCCCTCTTCCCCACGACAGATTGGCTCAGCGTCCGCATCACTGCAGACGCCGAACCAATCCGCCTGTCGATCTCCCGATCCCTCCTACCCTCACTCGTGAACAAGACCCCGAGATACTTAAACTCCTCCACTTGAGGTAGGACCTCTCCCCCGACCCGGAGGTGGCAAGCCACCCTTTTCCGGTCGAGAACCATGGTCTCAGATTTGGAGGTGCTGATCCTCATCCCAGCTGCTTCACATTCGGCCGCGAACCTACCCAGCAAGAGCTGAAGGTCAGAGCTGGATGAAGCTAGGAGGACCACATCATCCGCAAAAAGCAGAGACGAGATTCTCCTGCCACCAAACTCGACACACTCCACACCACGGCTGCGTCTAGAAATTCTGTCCATAAAAGTGATGAACAGAACCGGTGACAAAGGGCAGCCCTGGCGGAGTCCAACCCTCACTGGGAACAGGTCCGACTTACTACCGGCTATGCGGACCAAACTCACGCTCCTCTGGTAAAGGGACTGAATGGCCCTTAACAGAAAGCCACCCACCCCATACTCCTGGAGCGTCCCCCACAGGGTGCCCCTGGGGACACGGTCATAAGCCTTCTCCAAATCCACAAAGCACACTCCATCACCCTTGCAAGGGTATAGAGCTGGTCCACAGTTCCACGGCCAGGACGAAAACCACATTGCTCCTCCTCTATCTGAGATTCAACTATCGATCGGACCCTCCTCTCCAGTACCTTGGAGTAGACCTTTCCAGGGAGGCTGAGGAGTGTGATCCCCCTATAGTTGGAACACACCCTCAGGTCACCCTTCTTAAAGATGGGGACCACCACCCCGGTCTGCCACTCCCTATGAACTGCCCCCGATGACCACGCAATGTTGTAGAGACGTGTCAACCATGACAGCCCTACAACATCCATAGCCTTGAGATACCCAGGACGAACCTCATCCGCCCCCGGGGCTCCGCCGCTGTGTAGTTGTTTGGCTACCTCAGCAACTTCTGCCCCCGAGATCGGACAGTCCATCCCCAGGCCTCCCAGCTCTGGTTCCTCCTCGGAATGCGCATTGGTGGGATTGAGGAGCTCCTCAAAGTATTCCTTCCACCGTCCGACTATAGCCTCAGTTGACGTCAGCAGCTCCCCATCCCCACTGTAAACAGTGTGAGCGAGTTGCTGCCTTCCTCTCCTGAGGCGCCGGACAGTTTGCCAGAACCTCTTTGGAGCCGATCGATAGTCTTTCTCCATGGCCTCACCAAACTCCTCCCACGCCCGAGATTTTGCCTCGGCAACTGCCACTGCTGCACCCCGCTTGGCTATCCGGTACCTGTCTGCTGCCTCCGGAGACCCACAGACCAGCCACGCCCTGTAGGCCTCCTTCTTCAGCCTGACGGCTCCCCGAACCTCTGGTGTCCACCAGCGGGTACGGGGGTTGCCACCACGACTGGCACCGACCACCTTACGACCACAGCTAGCAACAGCCGCCTCGACAATCGCAGAGTGGAACAAGGCCCACTCGGACTCAATGTCCCCCACTGCTCTCGGGACGTGGTCAAAGCTCTGCCGGAGGTGGGAGTTGAAGACCGTCTTGACAGGTTCTTCTGCCAGGCGTTCCCAGCAGACCCTCACTATGCGTTTGGGTCTGCCAGGTCTACGCGGCATGTTCCCTTGCCATCTGATCCAACTCACCACCAGGTGGTGATCAGTTGACAGCTCTGCCCCTCTCTTCACTCGGGTGTCCAAAACATACGGCCGCAGGTCAGATGATACGACTACAAAATCTATCATCGACCTGTGACCTAGGCTGCCCTGGTACCAAGTGTACCGGTGGGCATCCTTATGTTCGTACATGGTGTTCATTATGGCCAAACTGCGGCTTGCACAGAAGTCCAATAACAAAACACCGCTCGAGTTCTGATTAGGTGGGCCGTTCCTCCCAATCACACCCCTCCAGGTCAAGCTGTCATTGCCCACGTGAGCATTGAAGTCCCCCAGCAGGACAATGGAGTCCCCTGATGGAGCACTATCTAGCACTCGTGTACAGGGTCTACGTAGTGATTTCTACTATATTCAACATGCTGTTCAGTACCGAATCTGGACTCTCTGTCAGGATGACGACGGTAGAAAACATAAAGCCAACGACAGAAAGGAAGTTTGGTTTTATTATGTTTTCTTTTGATAAAGGTCGGACATGGACAGCACAACTAAAGGAGGTCTAAGGGACCGAGGCCCATGTCTTTATTACACACCTAGACGGGGCCAGTAGAGGAGTGCAGCAATGGACGGGTTGTAATTAGTTAGATTAAATAAATAGTAAATATCATAACACTGAAAGTGCGGGCTAAGAACAGGTCTAAGTGAATTCTCAGGCAGCTCTGAAGGACTCCCCACTGAGTTAAAGTCTTACATCACAACATAAGGAAAACATGAAGCCTCCCTGGATTTAAAGAGGTTTAGATTACTCTGTAAAGTTGTATGAAGAGTTTCTCTGGAGCCAACTTTCCGATGCTTCACTGCTCAGATTTATTCACGAGGAGGAAAATCCTCCTTCCTTCCATTTATGGATGTCAGAGAACCGCTTTTCTCTCCAGATATTTATCATTTAGGTGTTCTTTCATAGCACAAACAAAACAAAGTGAGGAAGACCAACTCCCAGCCTAAACGGCCTGACATTACTGTGTAACCAATGAGCACAAGCTCATGAGTCCCTCCAGCCTTTCCTTCCTGCTGCTAAATCTCCTAATGGCAGTTCATATTAAGGTCTGTAGCTAATAGCATTATTTATAAAAAACTAACTCATGTGTGGACGAACAATAACACGGGCTGATCTAATTCTTACAGCGGAAGTTAAGAAAGAACTTGGGAGTGGGAGTGGGACCTACTGAAGGAAAAAACACCAAAATGATGTGAAGTTGGGGCCTTTAAGCCTAACTGCATTTCAATAAAATGCTTCAAAGCTCTGAAATGGCTTTCAGTACATTTCTGCACCAGTTTGGGAGTCTAGCAGTATAAAACACTAGAGTACTAGTTCCTGTTTAAGCTGTAAATCATAACGGCTTCCTGTTGCTTTCAGGAAGCAGACATCACAAAAAGCAGAACAGCAGTGGTACTAGTGACCCAGCAATGAAGCTTCAAATCCCCAACTTCCTTCTGAGGAACCTCTGCAGCAAA